AGATCCTCATGATCTTCTAGAAGTCCTGTCGTTACTAATGTAAAAAATTGTAAAATATATTTAGTTATTGTAATATTAAACGGCAAAAATAAAGAAATAAATAAAAAAATAAAAAAAGATGATAGAAAAGTTGTTTAAGATGTTAGAAAAGTTTTGTTTAGAGAAAAAAATATTAGAAAAGTTTTTTTGTTAGAAAAGTTTTGCCCGAAAAGTTTTGAAAGAAAAGTTTTGTTAAAAAAGTTTTGTTTTTTGTTAGAAAAGATGTTAGAAAAGTTTTGTTTTGAAAAAAAGTTGTTAGAAAAGTTTTGTTATTTGTTAGAAAAGTTTTGTTAAAAAGACTTTGTTAGAAAAGTTTGTTTTTTATTAGAAAAGTTCTGTTTTTTGTTAGAAAAGATGTTAGAAAAGTTTTGTTTTGAAATGTAAGAAATTAGATTTCGTATTTTTTTATTTAATTTTTATAAATGAGTTTTTGAATTAAAATATAGCTAAGAGTATATCGAATAAGAAAACTGAGATTGTAAGTACAAAGAATGCCTACACAGTATACAAACGTGCAACAAAATCAGCAAATAATCTTAGCTATGACAATTGTAAAGAAAATGTACCTAGAACAGTGAACCCCCAATGATTTTTGTGAGGGTGCGGTTGTGCCTCACAATGGGGGCAAAACCGTTTTTTTCACTAAGTGTAATTTTTGTGTAATAACATTTTCAAAACCCGTTCAATTTTTTTCTTAAATGCATCGATTTAAAGCTTAATGATGCGGATATTGAAATAAACTGTTAAAAAACACATTTCGTTTTTATTTTCATATAACATTCATTCAAACGTTACGGGGGCGGTTAAGCCCCCACTTCCCCCAATTAAATGTTTAACCCATTATTACTTAACAAATGCAAATTCACCATTTATTACAACTGAATTACACCATATCAACTTTATTTGAAAACCCATGATTCAATTATTACACTTCAACCAGATGGCATACAAATGGTTGAGCTGATGAAAGTTAGCAAAAATTTGTACCAAAAATACAATACCTCTAGCGATGAAAAAATTTATTAATTATTACTAGTTGGTGTGTTATTAGTACCCAATAGGACACTACTAACAATTTACATCAATTTTAGTTCAATCTGTACAGAAAACAACATCGACAACATTAAAAATAAGTACGTTCCAGTAAAAATGTGAAGTTATAGCGGCACTTTTTTACTTTTTATTTATTATATAATATATAATTTTAAACTCTAAATATTAAACTGCCACTAAAAATTTTATACTATGAACACATAATACAACAATAACTTTATACTAACTATATTAAACTAACTAAATAAACTAAATAATTTCAATTTTTAACTTTTTTTTATAAAATTTTCTCAGCCTCAAATTAATACATAAAACCTAATACATAATAAAAAAAAGTGGGGGGGGGGGGCATCCCGTCCCCCCCCCTCCCCCCCACACACACACACTTTTTTTCTAAAGGAAAAAAAGTGGTGGTGGGATTTTTTAATTTTTTTTTTTTTAAATTCTAGAATTATACAGGGAACTTTTTTTAGAAATTGACGATTGCGCCTCCCCCCACTTCAAAATTCGTGTTGTCGGCCCTTAATGCTGAATGTAAGTATGTCATTTTTATTTTATGTGCAACTTAGTTTAATTATTTCATAATTCAAGTAACTGCGTTTGTCTTTAATTTAATGCAAAGCGTTTCCAAAAGAAACTATGTAGTGCTTCCTCTATAGATTATATTTTTAAATCTTGTTTGCTTTATTTAGATTTGTCAATATATTAGAGTTCTTTATTTATAAATGAAAAAGTTAAAAAAAAAAAAAAATGCAGATAAACTCGTAGCCATCAAACAGATGGCTAGAAGTTAACTTTATATATATATTTTTTGTATTAAATTTTATTTTCTTATAAACTATCTACTTCATCTTGAAACAACTTAATACCAAAAATTGCTGGTACCTATTAATAATCGATTTTTTTTTTGGTGGATATTTCTAATGTCGTTAAAATTAAAAACTACCTTTTCTTACACAGCAGTTACATTAATTTAAATGTAACTAGACGCCATCTATATTTTCAGAATAGTTAATTTTGTTATTACAGTTTTGTCACTATATATATATATATATATATATATATATATATATATATATATATATATATATATATATATATATATATATATATATATATATATATATATATATATATATATATATATATATATGTATATATATATATATATATATATATATATATATATATATATATATATATATATATATATATATATATATATATATATATATATATATATATATATATATATATATATATATATATATAGGGGAAAACGGGGCAAATATGAATAAGTTTCTATTAATTTTTTTTTAGACCATCTGCAGCTTATTAGGTCTCCGTTAACTTTGAAGAAAATTAAAGTTGGCATATAAAATATGCCAACTCTAATGGGATATTTTATATGCCATATTTAATAGCATATAAATGCGTAAGCTAATTACTTAAGCACATTAACAACGTAAGTTGTTTATCATAAACAATAATTACTTAATTATAAGCACATAAACTTTATGTGCTTATAATTATCTCTATCATGACATATGTGCAAAAAATTTTCCAATAGTGTTTTCATGTTTTTAGAAATTTTAAAAAACTTTTTAAAAAACTCCCTCCCTTTTGTTTGTTACCGTATGTAATGTTTTTATATATATTATGCATATAAAAAATAAATAGTATTTTTTAAATGTTTAATTTTATATTCTAGAAAATTAGAAAAAACTTTAAAAAAATATCAAATAAAAAAAAAATCAAAATTAAAAAGATATTGCTGAAATGAAATTTTCAAGTAAAATTTAATGTGTAAAATTTGATATAATTTAAATAACCTGAAGTTAACAGGTTATTTGCATAGGTTTTCGTTCAAATAGATAAAATACGAAAGATAAAATACAAATCCATTCGAATAGTAGTTTTTTAAAAAATGCCTTATTGCTTTGTAAAAAAAAATATATTTTTTTATTTACATATTTATTAACAAATTAACAAAACATAAAAATTTTCAATAGTTTTCAATTGTATGAGTATATTGAACAACACGTCATCTAATAAATCTAAAAAAATTAATCGAATTAAATAAAGGGAAAAATGCATCACATTTATAAACTGCAAATCAATTTATTTATGCATAATAAATATTTGAAAAAAAGTTTTATTTATCAAAAATATACTAACTACATTTGCACAGAGGAGATTTTACGGGGGGTAGGTGTTTCACCCACCCCTCCTAAGTAGGTGATTTTTAAGTTATAGTCGGGTATTTTACGGATTTAGTCGGCAACTTCGATTTTGAGGACCTCTTTTTTTTTTTAAGACGCTAATCGGTACTTTTTAAAGTCTTACCTCCCCGTCATTTTATTTGTAAAATCGCCTCTGCATCTGCATCATCAATAATCAATTGGTAGATTAACCAATTACAAAAATACTTATTAAGGTCAACTTTAACTCAATAAGACTAACATCCTGCGATGATACGGTTTTAATAAACCTATAAAACAGAACATGTTTCATTAAGTAACATTTGAAGTAATTAAACTTTAAAAACTTTAAAACCGATAAAAAAACTAAAAAATACATACTTTTTACAAATAAAAGTATATTCAATAATCATTTCGTTTATGATAATGATAATAAAAGATTCAAAGACATTTCAGAAATTTATAAAAGTAAAATCGAAAATACAAAAAACTAACAGCGTGTACATCTGTGTATCATATCTACAGCGTATTTATACATTATATCATATATATCTACAATGATTAACATTTATTTATTTTTTCTTTTTAAAACAATAAATTATATACAATTTTATAATTTTATACTATCTCTGGTTACAAATGCAATCAAGTTTTACAAATCGCGACGTTAGTTTTAAGTCCATGTTTTTGCAAACTGAGAAAATTGATGTCAAAGTTTGAGTTTGTTTGCTGCTAAATTAAAAATATTATTTGGAAATTAAAGTTTTTCTTTAGATTTAAGATTGTTCCGTTGTTTATTTTGAATTATAAAAAATTTATTAAAATAACGCTAACGCCTTAATTTTCCCACCCACTTTTGGAGAATGAACAAAATAACTTTGGCTTTTTGTAAAATACAAAAATGTTATTTTGTTACATCTTATATATTAAATATATTAACTACATTTTTTAACAAAGACATGTTGAAAATCGATGAAACTTTGTTCTAGGTTTTTTTTTCTAGTCATTTTTCTTGCGCAGTGCTGTTGTTAGGCACCACATACCCCACAAATTAGAATTGGTTAAGACCCAGCAAAACTATGGGAGCTTTTTTTAAAATAAAAGGAGTTTTTTTTCTAACATCTAAAAATGGAAGTTTTTATTATTATTTTGGGGCCCAATTTTATATTTTGGGAGGGCCTACAACCCATTAGCTACTTCAATGTTCTTACAAGTTTAATTGATACCTGTACGCTCCGGCTCTGAACAAGACTAAGATGTCTAATTTAAAACAGAACACTTCGCTACATAATAAAAAAAGGGTAATATATATATATATATATATATATATATATATATATATATATATATATATATATTACCCTTTGTATATATATATATATATATATATATATATATATATATATATATATATATATATATATATATATATATATATATATATATATATATATATATATATATATATATATATATATATATATATATATATACATATATATATATATATATATATATATATATATATATATATATATATATATATATATATATATATATATATATATATATATATATATATATATATATATATATATATATATATATATAGGGTATAGGAAAAGGATGAAAAATATTTATTAAAGAATAGCTTTTTTAAAGTTTTCCATCAATTATTTGAGATCTAATAACAAACAACATACAAAATAAACTTGATTTTATTTTTCTTATACCTGTGATTCCATTGCAACTATTTATTAAAAACTATTATAAATAACAAGCTTAACAAGGAATTTTATCAAGATTTCAAAATAATATAAACCTTATATTTTATATATCAATATATATAAAAATAACAGAGAGAGTCATATATAAAAAAGTTCACTTTATTAATGCTTTGTAAAACGCAATATCAACAGCAGGCATGTATGAATACATGGAAATAATATCATTGGCTTTTTCAGCAGATAAAGGCTGAAAAGGAACATGTAAGCAAGCTGCCATTGGTATATTTATCTTTAATGGTTTAACAATAATGCTTGATGTTGCTTGCTTGATAGACTTATTAACACGTGCTTATGAATAATTATCTGAAAATGAGGTTTTAAAAAAAACATGGTGCGGCAGTCCATTTCAATAAACAAGATTTTTAACTCTTGTATAAGGCACTAACTTATAACTTGACAACCCAGCAGTAATTGAAAAATTCTTCACATCTACTAATTACATTTGGTAAACAGAGAATGGTTTTTTATGGTTTACATTTTTAATAGCTCTTTCTAGTCCAAGTGGACTAAATATTTCTGCAACAGAGAGAGATTTTTCAATTTGACTATGAATGTCATCACATTCTTGAATGCTGGAGTGACCTGGCTCACAGAACTTCTGCTCAATGACTTTTATTTGTGGGTATCGTATAACAAATTCATGTAAAGCTGCTGACATAAAACTATTGCGGTTTTGTGGTAAACATGAATCGAACCAAAGTATGAACATATTTATATCAAGGTCATCAATGATTTTTAAAAGCAGACACTTTACAGCACTGGCAAGATCATTTCTTCCACGACCAGCCATAGCTTCATGCCAAAGGATGCAATAACCTTTCTTGTTAAGTGAACAATGACCAGTTAAGTTATAATTTGAAAGTTTCCGTTTGTAACAAAAGTTACCAAAATTAGCTCGAGGAAAACTTAAAACATTTTTAAAATCAATACAAACAATTGCTGTTTTAGGATCAACATTTTGACGATCTTTTTCACATTCAGTTTTGGTATCATTCTTTGATGTTATGTGCTTATTATAACTAACTGTCTGCTCATTGCTTGCATTCACAATGTTGCAATATTCATAGCATGTATAACATAAATCTTTCTTTGGCTTTTGAAATTCTATGTTAAACTCGTGATTGAAGATATAACGATAAATATGTTCTTTTACTGGTGTATAGCCATTTTCATCACAATATACTTTAAAAAGATCATACAGTTTACCTATATTGAGTGATCCTTCCATATATTCTTTATGCGTCTTTTTCCTGCAGTAATGAGCCTCAATTCTTGGGAAAAGGTTTATATGGTCTCGTACAACTTTTTTAGAATCTTGTGGTAAGCTTTTTTTCACATGTCTTCCACATTTTGATTGCATAGGTGTTTCAGTAGTTATGCATTTATTAAATTTGTGAATGTAAAAAATTCTTTGGCTACTAATACTCAATGTTGAAAGATAGTAGGATTTACAAACTTTATATTGTGTATTAGAAACAAAGAAGTTATAATAATAAGACATTTTTCTTCTAGAACTTTCACCAGCAGCTGTTCGACAGCGTTTTTTCTCCAGATTTTTCGTAAGTTTTGAATAGAAATGTTTTTTACCGTCATCATCTAAGGTCCAAAAGTTATCAAATATAACTTGACGCACGATCTCACTTAAATAAGTAGAGCATTTGAATTTACAATTACTGCAACTTTTTTAGCATTACATTAGATCTTTCTGGCACTTGTTTACCTATCGAATTTTTATAAGTTTTACCCGACTGACGTTGCATTTTTCTTATATTTTGTTTCCAAATACTTGTGTCAGCTTTGCATTTCCTAGATACTTCACCATGGGGTGACCTACGAGAAGGTGTAAAGAATAAAAAACTCCATTACCTTTTTTTTATTTGTTTATGCAGGATGCATAAATAATATATTATTTTGTTTTTTATGCATGTTTTCATCCTGGATAATCAAAATAAAAATTGGCAAAATTATAACACTAATTAAGTAAAAAAATACCTTCGTTTTGATTTAGAGTATGTTTCATTTCTTGGTCAATACTTTTAGTTGCCATTTTGAAAATAACAAAAACAACAAAATTATTCAACTATGTAATTGTAAATATATGATTGGTTGATCAGAAATAGAATAAGATAATATTTTCAAATTTTCTTATTTAGGAGATAGCACAATGCAATATGGCATGCAACGTCGTATTAAAAGTTTTGTATGTTTTCAATATAAATAAAATAGAAAAACATAGTGCAAAACTACTCAAAAGTTATAAAAACTCAATTTTTTCAAAAGGTGGAGATAGAACAAGATAATTCTAACGTCGCGAAATGTTGTTTTTCATATATATTATAGTTAGTTTAAAAGTATTTTTATTTATTTACATTTTATTTATATTTTTATTTATATACATTTTGTTTTTGTGTTTTTTAATTTTATATTTTTTTGTGTTTTTTAAATTTTATATTTTTTTGTGTTTTTTGGTTATATATTTTTTTGTATTTTTAATTTTTTTAATTTTTAGCCGTTGTGCGGAGTGATGTCAAAAACTTGAAAAGGTTTTAAAAAAATTTATATATACTATAAGATAATGTTCAATATTAGATTATAGTATTTTGAAAAGAAAGACTATATTAAAGAAAAAAAATAGGTTATAAGGAAATTTGCAGGACTTTTACACAAATGCCGCTTTACAATCTCTACGTATAACACCAATATGTTAAAATAATATTTCATAAAATAAGGGCTGGCAGTGATTTTCTAATTATAAATAACAATATTTATGTTGTAAAAAAAAGCTTTGCAGAGAACAGATGGTCTTAACTAAATATTTAGTTCTGAATTTTGACCCAGTGTATTAAATTAGCTCATATGTTTAGATTCTCTACTTGGCAAAATACATTGTTAATACAAAAAGGTTGACAGAAAATTTCCGCAATGTTTCTACGGACATGATAGTTATATTTTAAAGTAAGAATAATTCTGATGTTCCTGATTATTACCCTGATCATTGCCACTGGGTCAATTTTTATGTTACTAAACATGTGGTGGCATCTGCTGTTCCATATTGCACTCATAATGGTTTGAGTGAGCGTCAACAGCAGTTGCGAAGTAGGGTTCTTCTCCGACAAATTCGTTATCCCAATCGAGAAGATCGAATTTATTGGAGAGAAATTTTTTTGAGATGTCAAGGAGTTATATACATGTTTAAAATACTCCCATATTTCAACAGAAGGAGGACAGTAGGCAAAAATGTGGATGTTGCCCTCGATTTTACCGCAAGTTTTGCATTTGTTGTTTTTTACAATCTGTTGCCTTGTGCTTTTGGCTAGCAAAGCTGCAGAAGGTAAACTGTTGTGTAAAAATCGAAAGAGGATATTTTGTGTCAGTCCGCATGCGTGGGAGGTAAAGTTTTTTCTCCAAATTTGGGTCCACGGCATTGTTGTTTTTGTTGAACCGTTCCAGAAAAGTTCTGCTGGCTCGACTGTCTTTTTATTTTTTGCCACTTCTAAATAAATTTTTTTTGTTGATTTTAAGGGGATGTTAAAAATGGAACCATTTTTGTCTAATGTTTCAATTGTTGTTGTGTAGTATTGAGACATTTTGTTGTCCCAGTGTTTTGGAAAGTTGTTCTGTTTCAAAAAGTTCTAGCTTTGGTTTTGGTTCGTAAACTTTATAAGTGAACTTGCTAACCAGTAATTTGAAAAGTAGTAGTAATCGTGAGTGTCTCTCATTTCTCTACGCATTTTTTCAGTTGAAAGAGTGTTTTGAGGCAAAGTGCAAGGCTTTGCTCTTTCAGTTATAAAATTCCGAGACCCCCGTTTTTGACGGGTAAGAAAAGTATCTCTCTTTTGACCGGATTGTAGTTAGTCTTTTGCGACAGATTTTCGAATATGGCACTGTGTAAACGTTCTATTACTCACTCGGGAACGGGCAGCAAGTTTGTCAGAAACCACACTTTTGACAGTGCTAACGTATTTATCAACATAGTCTTTCCCCTAAGTGACAAAGCACGTAGTCCCAGAAACTTGAGTTTTTTCTCTATTTTGTTTAGAGATACTAGCCAGTTGAAATTAGTAGTATTACTCAGTATGGTGTAAAACGTAACTCCTAAAATTTTGAAACCGGTGTTATTGGTTCACTCTATGTTGTCTAATTCTGGGTACATTTTAAGATCAAAACCCCCAAGTGCGAGACCCTTGGTTTTTGAGGCATTGATCACTGAACCACTTGTTTTTTCAAATAGTTTTACTGTTTTGAAAAAATAGCGGACTGATTTTACGTCCCCGGCAAAAAAGTTCGAATCGTCTGCGTACTGCTGTAATTTAAAGGGTCTCGGTGTTCCTGGTTGTGGGAATCCCTCAATTCTGCTGTCTGCTCTGATCAACAAAGCGAAAACTTCCGCAAAAGAGAGAGAGGGTCGCCTTGTCTAACTCCCCTTTCGGTAGGGAAAGAGGTTGACAGGAAACCGCAATTCAGAACGGATGCCGAAATTTCTGAATATAAGGTGTTAACAAAGGATACAAAATTTTCTCTGAGGTTAAATTTTTAGAGAATCTGCAGCAAAAACGCATAATCGACTTTGTCAAACGCGTTTTCTTGATCTATTGACAAAATGAAACTAGGTAGATTTTTAAATTCCGCATAATCTATTAGATCACGGACTTAATGTAAATTTGAAAAAATTATTCTATCTGGAATTCCGCAAGTTTGGTTTGGTTCTATAATTTTTCCCATTACTTTTGCAAGTCTAAGGCCAGCGCTTTTGTGATTATTTTGTAATCAGCGCCGATTAAGGATATGGGCCTCCAATTTTTACATTCAGTAAAATTTCCTTGTTTGGGAATCAGTAAAGTTATTGATTTTTTCATAGAGTGGCTGGTATTTTTTTCTACAAAAAGTATTTCGTAAGCAAGTTCTTCAAAATCTTTAGCTAGAAGTCTTACTCAAATAGTTCTTTTTGGTTTCTTTGTCCTGAATTCTTTGCATAAGCTCATTGAGAACGGTATCGTTTTTAGTTAGTAATTCAAACACCCCAAGAAAGTTTCCTTTGCTCTTTGAACCAATGGTTGCGTCTGAACCACGGAATTCAATATTTCTTGCAGAAAGAAATAAGGTAATGTTCAGTATCCTTTCTAACAATGCACTGCATAGACAAGCAACTTTTGTTTTTGCTCGTCTATGGTAGCTTGATTTGCAATGCCTGCATTACCAAAATTGAGGGAAAAAATTAATTAGGAAAAGAAAGTAACAGAGCAATAAATTAAAAGAAATATGAGTTAGCCTTTTCGTTAAGTAACCCAGTGTTCAAAGTACTTAAAATGTGCAAGGCATGTTTCGCGTTCTTTAAGTTTTTTTGATAAGCCTTTCCAAGTGTTCATTACCTGTCGGAATGGTGAAGAAGTTATCCCAAAAGTTTTGCAACAAAAACAAAAAACTTTATTGCTATTCAAAGAATATGCAAACCATATCCGTTCAAAGATTCTTTATCTTTCTGTTATAATAATTCAGTGAAAACCTTCTTCTTTCTAAATTGTCTCGAAAATTAATTTCAATCTTTTTAAAACCACGTTTAACAATGTCACACCTCTGTGCGTCAGAAACATCATTAGGCAACTCAGAAGGATCATCACGGAGAAAAATAGGCGGAATTATTATGCCATTTGATGTAGACTCACATATCAACCTATCTGACTCTAGTATTCAAATAATGACTATCAGAATTATTTGTAGTTTCTGTTGGCGTCGAAACACTTCCAGGCTAAACTGCTGGTTTCAAAAAATGTGTTAGTTTGGGGTATTTTGTGATTTTCTCTTCTCTTAGTGGCACCACTTTTCACTTTTTTCATACCAATATTTATACCGTGAAAAACTAACGAAAGATAAATATAAATTTTTGCAAACCTTCTTTCATTGTTTGTTTTTTATGATATATTTCGAAATTGCAAAATAAAAATAATAAATTTATAAAGCTTGCGTTTAATAATAAAATGAATATATTTCTATTGGGTTGAGCTCACAATGAAACTTGGAATATGGAATATTTACGTCCATCTTATACTTTTTATTGTGCTCTTGAATTAACTTATCTAACTTTGATCTTTTCGTAAAAGCTAAATGAGACGATGCTTTTATTCTTCAGCAAGAAGAATGTCTGAGGTTTTCATGTGTAAGTCAATAATTTCTAATCCTTTTCATAACAAAAACAAGCCTTTAGAAACACCATCGGAATCAAAACAGTTAATTGTCTAATAATTGACAAATGTTTTTCTATAAACTACAACGTCTTCTCTTTCATGCCCATTAACAAATGGACGAGCTTTGTTATTCGACCGAAAAATCCCCAACTAGATAATAAGTTTTGAATTGCTTTATAGCTTCCACTATATTGTGATACTTTGCTTTTTTTTTTGTTCAATTTTCAGAGAATCAATTAACTTTGACCTTTTTAAAAATGCATTAACTTCTTTTTGAATAATATCGATGCTAAATGGACTATTTTTTGAGAAACTTTATCAATGATAATGGCGTAAATATGTTATATTAAATTTAAATTATCTTTAAACATTGAGTGGCGATGGTACTGTCAGAAAATAGAATCTCTTCTTCTCCAATCAACTTAAACCAGTGTTTCAGTGCAGTCCGATAAGTTAATGTTCCCAAACTCGACATGATTCTACTTATTTGGATTCGTTGGATTTTTGCAAGTGTAAAAACCATAAAAATTGCAAGACTGAATAATCGTTCCATTTTAAATCCCAAATTTCTTTCTCGCATAGCATTTTGTAATCATATCGAAATGAAATTCACTCAAATCTTCAATATTGTGTTCGTGTTTCTCCAAATCAAAAACTTTTCTATTACTTTTTTTAGGCATTTTTTTAGATATCGACCTCATCTTCTGAGCTCTAATATGAGCAAAACGCTTTTTTTCATTTCATTAAGATGTTGATTACGCTAAAACCTAACTTTTTTGAAACTCATAATTATTTATGCCTTAAAATACTCAAATAATTTTAAAATAAGAATAATGTTTTACAGTTTTTTGGCCTTAAAATATAAACTATAATATTTATTTAAAAAATTACTTCATATCTTTTTTACTGAGAAAATTACCCTTATTTTAAACCTGTACAAGGGTAAATTTTGTAACATATTTTTCAGTTTCGATTTTTATAACAGGCTGTAAAAATTCTAATCAAGTAAAACCGTATGCTTTGACCATCTGTAAAAATTAAAGAATCAAATAGCAAATCTCCGTAAATTATATCGTTACCAAAGCAACCGAAAGCTTTTTCTTATATCTCTCCAAGCTTGTTAAACGCCATTTGTGAACATAAAAACTAGTACTAGGGTCAGCCAATCTGACTTTACCAATATTTTTGAAAAAATGAAAGTTTGAAGTAAAAGAAAAAAGAGTTTAAAAGTATTTAAAATACATAAAAGTATTTTTATATGTCGATGGTTTATAGCACAAAAAACAGTTGTCCATATTTGACAGTTTCAAGAAAACCGGTTTTCAAAGTATGAGATCCTCAATTAATTAATTAATTATAATTTATTTTAGAAAATCTGTGAAATTGTAATCTTTGTTTATTTTTAATGTCATTGATAATTTTTTTTCAAAAATATTTATGGCCGAAATGTCAAGAAGTAGCATTGTATAAAAAGGTGAACATGTGTCTTTTGTGCTTTAAATCTGTGCTTTAAAATGTATTGTATGTTATAGTATAACATTGTATGCTATAGTATAACATTGTATGTTGTAATACAACATACAATGTTATACGATAACATACAACTTGTATGTTATCGTATAACTGATTACAATTGCTGTTGGTGTAATGGTGTTAATGACTTTAAATTAAAGCATTAAAATCAATTGATTGACTAAATTGAATAGATTAAATTAGGTTTTGAGTTATAAATTAGGTTTTGAGTTATACCTAATAAAGTTTAACAAGTAAAAATCTAAACCCCTTTAATTTTCTATTGTTTAATATTTATTTTTTTCTTTTTATGGGAATGATATTAAATGTTTAATTAGTTTCTTAATATTTCATCTTATATTTTTACTATATCTAAAACAAAGTTAATAGAAATTGATGACCTCATGAAAAAATTTTAATATTAGCTGTACCTACTGTGACTTTTGTATTTGGGCTTTTTTTTCAATGTTATGGAGATTAATGCTTTGTTTTTTTTACATTTTGAGTTAAATAAGTTTAAATTTGATATCTCTTTTTAATATAATTTTCATAAACTTTTACCCTACCTATGTTACTGAATTTCTAATAATATTAAAGCATTCCTTTGTATCATTTGATACAAAGGAATGCTTTACAACAAAATTAACTATTTCAAAATTATTTTAAACAACATGTCCTCAAAATCTTCAAAATAAAAAGTTAGATTCTAAAATTAAGTATAGAAATTTAAAAGACAAATTTTTTTAATATATTAAATATTAAATATTTAACTTATTTAAAACACACAGAAATAAAATCAGCATAAAAATTTTTTATAGTTGCCTTCAATAGTTTACTTAACATTAAATATTATGGAAAGGTTTAATAAATATTAGTAATTGTATTACCAAAAAACAAATAATTAAACTTATCATTATGAATAATAAACTGTTCACTATCTTTCTGAATAAGTAAGTCATAGATTAAAAGGTGGTTGGTTATCTCAGTTTTTATGTAATAGGATGCAATTAAAATTTTGTTTTTAATTATATTTCTTCCTGCATTCTTTTAAATAAAATCTGGAACAATGGTCACCCTAGTTAAAAAACAATAATGTGTTTCTTGTTTTATGGAGCTGTGTAATTTCGTTTTAACATTTTAGTAAATGTTCTAATATGACTTTTTTTTTTTGCTTCAACTTCCCAAAATAAGTGTGAAAGAAAATCAGCTGTGAGGGTCTATTTTTATTTTTACAACTGTTCCTTTTATGTATGGCTTACAATGAATTACTGCATGAAAAATTACTGTTTGTAATGTCTGTTTTCACAGTTCCCATTACAACTAAATTTTTATACTTTGTGTTTGTATGCTGTCATCTTAGGTTTATAAATTGGAAAAAAACTTTTTTTTTTTCTAATTTATAAACCTAAGATGACAGCATACACTTTTTTTTCTTTTAACTATTTTTTAATATTTGATATCACCATTAATAATAATTAAAAAGATAAATAATCAATTTAAAAAAATGCAAATTTAATGTTACATATATCAAAAACAAAAGTATACAACTTTTGAAACAATTTGTAACAAATATTTTTTATTGCCTCACTTATCTGAAAAATCTCAAAACGCAGACGAAGAAAAATTCAAAATGCTATATTTCAAGATAGGGCCATTTATTTGTTCTAAAACTTAATCAGTATAAAGATCTCATATTGATGTAGGAGTTTTATTAGAATTATATGTTAAATACATATTGTTTTGGAGTAAAGGTAAATTTACCATATTTAAATAGCTGCAGGTATCATGTGGTAGATATATATGATAATATTTCATGAACTGATTTGCATTGGAACCTACTTTTAGTACAACTTCTAAATATGGCTGCAATCAATATATCCTGAAAATTTCATTGTAATTGCACCTTTAGATATTAAGATATTATATTCTGCCTAATTTTGAAAATTTAAAAATGGTAAAAATAAGCTTTTTAGAAACAATAAACTTTATGAGTTGATTACCAGCCACCATTAGAATAAGCTGGTTGTTTTTTTGATCTGATGTTTTTTCTAAACTTATTTGCAAAAATTCAAACACTCTGTTTAAAAAAATGATTTATTTAAAATATTGTGGCAAAACCAGTGTTGGCATTAAAAAATCTTCCCAATAAAACCCACAAAAATTTGCTTCAAAAATTCCAATAAAACCCGGGTAATATAAGTTTTGTTTGATTTTTTTAAAGATATTTAATAAGTTTATGAACTATTATAACCAGCTTTAACATTATAACTATAATATTATTAACTAAAATAATTATTAACTACTATTATTAATTAAATTATTAAATATCAGGCCTCGGCGGGAGTAAATGAGCAAGAGAGCAGAGAAAAGCTCTCCTAAATCGAACTTAGGGAGCTGCTCCTTATTTAAATCAGTGCTCTTTTTTAATTTTAATTTTTTTTTGCAACAACCATGCTTTTTAAAAAACATTACAGTATATTATGCAATTAATTTTTTTTAAATGACATTGTGTTTTTTATTTTAGTTTCAACGATAATTAGACTTTCGTGAGAAAAGTTATACTTTTGCGAGAGCCATAAATTGCTCCCGTAAACCATTTTAGGGGAGTGTAGGCTAGAGCTAAAGCTCTCGCTTCTTGCAGAGGCCTGAACTATTATTAACTATTATAACCAACAATAATGGCTATCAGAGCAGGTTTACTAATATTTGAATCGTTATTTGGAAATACATTATTACAATTTTTATTCAAATATTTTTATCGATTGAGATTTTTTAATCTTTTATATAATTCACCTCCCAAGGTGAATTTAAATAAGTAGTAGTGGCCAGAGAAGGCCAATATAGTTGAGGAGGCTACTTTATTGTGGTTACATCCCTACCTCAACTCTTTAACTCCTAAACACGAATCTTTATAAACAAGGCTGCTGTGCTGAGAAACAAGATTGTTCATTTGAGTTTTAAGTTTAAAGATTAATTGAAACATCAGTTACTACCTCTCATTATCTAGCCTTCTTTTTCCCATTTATCATTGACACTTTTAATTACATAGAATATACTTATAATTTTAAAATAAATCAACACATAAAGATTTAACTTGAAATTTTTTTTTATTACAATTTTAAATTATATTTAAAATTTTTTTTCAAAATAATTTGACAAATTCTTGTTATAAATTATTAAATAACAATATAAAAAATATATTTTAAAGTTAAAGTAGAAAATGAAACTAATTTTCAATATCATTAAACACAAAAATAATTTTTTTTTTTACAGAGATGAAATAAAAATAACCCAAAAAAACCCAAATTTACCCAAAAAAACCCAAATTTACCCAAAAAACCCCACTGGACCAGGTTTTTAAAAAAACTCAGGTTTTTGTTAACCCTGGGCAAAACCAAATCTTGGTTGGCATTGCTAAGGTGTTACCAAGCAAATAAAATCATACTTTGGGTTTTATAAATCATATATCTCATGATATGATTACAAAACCATATAAAAGTATTATGTATTTGAAACCAGAATTAAATTTTACATACATTGAACTTAAAACCTGAAAATCACTCTTTTCATAATTTAAATATTTTAGTATCACCTTAAATTAAATGATTTTTGAAATCTGAACTATAGCTCTCAGTAAAATGTGAGATTTCAAACTGTTGCGCTAGTTTTGTGATGTTTTTTTGATAGTTTTTTTTATGCTACGTATCTGTAAATTGTAAATGAAAAAACTTCAAATGATTAAAAAGTAGGAAATCAGAAATGATCTTCTAATTTCTAAGATCATTAAGAATCAGAGATAATTTTATTAAACAGGATTGTCTCTGACATTTTATTGTTGAATTGTAACTGTTAAAAAGGTAATTTTTTTTTAAATTAATCTCTGTAAAAGTTAAGTTGTAAAATAAGTTAATAAATTAACACAAATAATGATATTTCAAAAAAGAATTTGACAACAAACAATAAATTGACTAAAATTTAAAACAGATAATTTTAGTTATCTGTTTGTTCGAGCTTTAATAGTAAAAATACGAAAACTCAAATTTTTAACAACAACTTTAAGGCTATAATACAGTTAGTAAAATTAATCTCAATAACAAGTTGTCATAAATACAGCAATAATATAGTTAGCTAAATTAATTGTTAAGTATTACAAACAAAACAAAGCTTAAATTTTTAACAATGATTTTGAAAAAAATATAAATATTTTTAAAAATCCAAAAAAACTTAACTAAGGAGCAAACATGGAAATATTTTTTGTTTTGAACATTGGAAACATTTTTTCAAACATTGGAAATATTTTTTGTTTTGTTTCAAATATCATATTTTATGACATTTAAAATAAATGTATATATATTTTATGTATAATAAATGTAATATAACTTATGATTGTTGTTTTTAAAATTTAGTAACAATATGGATGAAATTAAATTAAGGCCAATGTCTCAAAAAGGTTACATTATTGGTGCAAGAACTGCAGAAAGGTTTCAAAAGTTAATTGTATGTTTTCAATTAATTAATTTTTTTTTATACTATATTAGTTTGATGTAATAATTTAAAATTGAAATAATTGGTTTTAGAATTCATGTTAAATTTGATTTGTAAATCCATGAAAAATGTTAATCATGATTAAAATTATTGGAGTGAAAAAATTTATTAGAATCAATATTTTAATTGGATATGGTTAATGATAAAAAAGTTTTTGTTAACCATATTTAATTATGTTATTAAACATGACTAGCATGATTAATTGAGATCAACATTTACTAATATGATCCACATGATTGAATGGGATAAAGAATGGCTTATATGAATAATTTGATTAAATGTATTTTGCAAAAACACGGTTAACCCTTATGTTAATACCCAATTTTATCGACACTGTTAAGTACCTGGGTACAAAACTGTTAAGTACCTGGGTACGATACTGTTAAGTACCCAGGTACGACACTGTTAAGTACCTGGGTATGACACTGTTAAGTACCTGGGTACGACACTGTTAAGTACCTGGGTATGACACTGTTAAGTAGCCAGGTATGACACTGTTAAGTACCTGGGTAATCAATTATTGTGTTAATAAAATTTGATCAGTGAAATCAGTGAAAGGAAGTATGTTCAAAATATTTTATTTTAAATATAGATTGTTAATGAGTAATTAAACAAGTTAAGCAGGTCAAAACAACAATTTTTTTTTTTTAACAAATGAATACTTTTTAGTTGTTTTTTTCAAATTCTTTTTATTGCATTATGTTTTGAATACAATCAATAATATTTTTATAACCAAATAATAGTTGTTTTTCTCTATTTTTACTATAAAGTTTATTTGAATGCATTAATAAATATAGTTTTAATTTTATTTGGTACAAAAAAAACATTGAACCTTGATTTTTAATGGAGGGATAGCTAAAGTTTGGACTGATTTTTTTATTTTGTATTCATTATCTATTGACAAAAAAAATCACTAACCACTTTTGATCTAACTAATAAGGATTCGGAAGCTCAAACTAAAAGATTATTTTTTCCCGGTTTTATTCATTCAAATGCAGCGTGGTGGTTACCCGAGTATTGACACCAGGGGTATTTTGATTAAATGTGATTAATTATAACTAACATGATTAGTTTGATTGAATGGGATTAACAATAACTTTTTTTGTTTGCAGTTTTAAATAGAATTTCAATAAATAAAGTATTGTTTAGAATGCAAAAGTGATATGGCAAGCAGAAAATTCTAAAAAAAGTATTTTCTTTATCTGAGAAAATTAAGTTTAAAATTATAGTTTATTAAATTATGTTCTTATTCATAAGAAATTTTAAAATATAAATTAATGACTAAAAGTTAAAAAAAAAAAAAAAATCAGAGGCTTGAATTTACCATAGACAAGTATTCTAAAATAATCAAAAGAGCCTTAATAAGCCTTAAAAGGTCCATTTTTAATATTGTCAACTTTTTGTAGTTTTTATTTTTATTTCATTTAATTCATAGTTGCATTTATATAACTATGTTTAACCTTTTTAAAAAAATGTAAGTAAAATTAAGTGTTATCATTATTGAAGGGAGGAAAGGTATGATGAGAAATAATAAATACAAGACTTAAAAATGGACCAAAATACAGTGATATTTATTAATGGTTATATTAATACAAGTTTTTATATAACTTTCTACTTTTAAAAATAAATTTTTGGTGCTTCACTGAGCAGCTTCATAGTAAAACTCAAACAAGACATACTCATATCTTATGTGATAAATCCATAAATAATGTTACATAAAATGTAATGCTGGAGATCTCTGTGCTGAAACGATCAAATCATTTAAAATTAGTCATTATGTGCAATTATAGTTAATGCTTTTTTGGGAGAAAAAAGATTATAGTTCTTATCAAACCCTCATTGCCACTATTGATAATAAGCACCTTAAGCCATATTTTGTTTTTATGTGGCCTAAAACTAAAACGAAACTAAAGGTCAGAAAAAATGCATAGAATTTGGAAATGCATAGAATTTAGAAAATGCATAGAATTTAGAAAATGCATAGAATTTAGAAAAAGTTGAAAACACCAAGTTTTATCTACAAAAAAGCTTTTTAACTAATATCTTTGACTAATATTGTTTGAATTGTTTAAACTTTATGAATAAGGCCATTAACATATTTGAAAGTGAATATTTTTTTGATATGAATTGTTAAGTTACAAACAGTAAAGCTAAATTTTATATTATCTTACATTGATTTTTATAATTTTGTTTTATTGAATAGGAAGATGGACCAGGACCTCCATCTTATCAACCAATAATAAGTGAGAAAAAAAAGATAAAACTTGCACTAAAACCATTTCAATGTGGCGACTCAAGATTTCCAAAAATAAAAAGAGAAACTATTCCTGGGCCAGGTACTTATGATCACAATATTCCCTGCAATAAAAAAATCCAGTTTTATTGCTCATTTGGTGGTCTTCAAACACTTCGAACATCTGTTCAGCTTATTTGCAATTATGGTTTAAAAGATAATGTAAGTTTCAGTTTTTTTCATTTTTTTATAATTACAAGTTATATGCCTAAACATTTTTATTATAAATTAAGATAAGTTGCTTATACTGGTTATAAAAGCCACCTTGAATATAGTGGCCAGGTGATTATTATATTTAAAAGAGATTGCTCATTTTATTTTTTTCTTAAGTTGGTATTATACTTCTGTTTTATCCCTATAATTCTGAAACACAAATCTTGATGAATAAGCTGCATGCAAAAACAATTTAATAAAAAAAAATAAGTTGTAAATCATCTTGAAATCAATAATGAATTAACCTGTATCATTTTTCAATTTTTTTTAGTGTAGTTCTTGCTTAAAGGAAATAATTGGTGATTACTACAAAAACAACAAGCATAAGAGTTTGTGTCGAATTTGTTATGACAATTTTAAATACAATCTACCTGAAAAAAAACAAAAAAGGTATATTTTTTATATGTGAGATGTTTGTTTAAAAGACTATTTATTTAGAAAAGAGATGTTTATAAAAACATATTGTTTTAATATGGTAGAGTTTACTAGATTCATTTTAGTGTTCCATTTGTTAGTTTACCAATAATGCCTCAATAACTCAATAAAATGAGAAAATGAGAAACTGAGAAATTTCTCAGTTTCTCATTTTCTCAATAAGCTAATACCAAATTGACTTTCACAGTTTCATGTAAAAGTATATCCAGAATCTCTTTGGCACTCTTGGCATGTTCTACCAATTTTAGTCAATGTATATACACTCCGCTGTGCCAATCCCTAAATAAATCAGTCAATAAAAAATGAATAAATAAACTAAAATGGAAAAATAAAAACAATATAATACAATTAAAAAATAAAAACAAATACATCTGCATTTTTGCGATCATTTAACATTTACATTTGCAATTAATTTATTTGTTTTGGCTTTATAATAACACGAAAATGTTGAATGAAAGTCTAAGTAAATACATATATTTTTTAAACATCTTTGCTTACCAACAAGACTGCAAGTAACCACTAATTAGTGTTACTTGCAGTAACACTAATTAGTGGTTACTTAAGCTCGATAAAGAGATGCAACCTTAGCAGATGCTAATTTTGCAACAGATTTGATATATGGTTTCCAACAAAGATTGGAAGTAAAAGTTAATCCTAGAAGATGAAGGGTAGATAACTCATCGAGTACATTATCTTTCTTAAATATAGGTAGGTCTAAATAATTGCGATGATGATTGACTGAAAAAATTTGAATTTTATCTGAATTAAAGTTCACCAGCCAGAGTGAGCCCCATGCTGTAGCAGAAGTGAGATCCTTTTCAAGCTTAAATGCCCCCTCCAAGCAATCAGAGGGAGTTGGCTTCTAATCATGCCAAACTTTATCAAAAGCTTTAGAAATGTCAAGGATGATAGCCTTAACCTCTCCACCTTTATTTAATGCACGGTAAATAAATTAGGGATAACAGATACTGCTTTCCAGCAGGCTGAAAAACAAGACTCTGATACGCACTTGTTGAATAGGTTTGAAAATATAGACGACAGCCTCGGAGAACACTTTTGCAAGACTATAACAGGTATGTTGTCCAGGCCACAAGCTGTAGAAGAGTCTAAGCAGGAAATCACTTTAGATTTAAAATCTGGAGTAATACGAATGTCAAGCAATAAATCAACCTGTTTGATGGCTATATCAGGTAGAATGCAACTAGTGGAATCAAGAGATGATATTGATTAGAAGATCTTTGCAAACAATTCAGGTTTGTTTTTAGGTGAGGTGACAAAGTCTTAACCATAAAAGAGAGGTGGAATTAAAAATTTGCCCTTATTATTGATACTATTAAAGATTTTCCAGATGTCATGAGAGCCATATTTTTGTGATGAAATACAAGATTTTATGACCTGAGAATAGCAGGCTTTGGCATTAGATAAAACCTTTTTACAATGGTTTCTAGCAGTAATAAACAGGCGTTTCTTTCTGGAGAATTGTTTAGCTGATAGATATGAAAGTAATGGTTTCGATTGGCAATCGCAGCAGCACAATATGAGGAAAACCATGGAGAAGAGTAAGGCTTGACCTGGATTCGTTGAGACAGAATAAAAGATTCAATGCCAGCCTGAATCCAGGAAGTTATGTAAGAAGCACATTTTTCAACAGGAAGACGAAAGATTTCTACCCAAGGGCCATGACAAAGAAAATCATGGATAGAGTCCCAGTCAGCTTTAAGTTAGTTGTAAGATGTACGATGATAGGGGGATTTAGATTTAGAAGAATGAGATAGTAGTTTTAGGGAAATCAAACTGTTATCAGAAGGACCTAAGGGTGAATGTGGAGAAACTGTGTACTGACTAAGATCAGAAAAGTCGAGTAGAGAAGGTAAATGATTCAGGTTGTCTGGAAAGCGAGTTGGAAAGTTGACTATTTGAGTTAGGGATTGAGAAAGGCAAAAGTTGTTGGCTTTAATGCCTGCAGAGTCACTGACACAAGAGCCAAGCGATTCAGTGTAATAAGCATTAAAGTCACCAACAGCGACAATATTGACTGATAGATAAAGAGAGAGGATTTGGTCAATATGATCAGAAATAACATCAAGAAGAGTGCAGTCTTGAGATGAAGGAGAGCGATATAGAACAAAGAGAAAGGTGATAGAGTGAAGTGGTGCTAAACGAAAGCACATAAAAAGTAGTCTGTGGATTCAAACTTAGTTTCCTGACAAATGGGTGAATTCTTACGAATGTAAATGCCTAGGCCAAGCATGTGACTATTGGAGTCTTTACAAATTAAAGGAAGATAACCATCAACACTGAGATCACAAGATGAGACAGCTGAACTCAAATTATTCTCACTAAGAGCAAGTAGGTTTGATAAACTTTGCTAGAGATAAGACTTAACAGAAGAAAAGTTACTTTGAAGACCACGGATATTAGTGAATGATAGGTTTAGAGAACTTGGTGATGACAATAGATTTTTGTGTTTTATAGTCTTTTTTACTTTATTCATTTTTAAATTTGTTAAAGAACTTGACTCGAAGCATAGATAGTACTCAGTACACTGTTTAAGCAATATATATATATATATATGTATATATATATATGTATATGTATATATATGTATATATATATATATATATATATATATATATATATATATATGTATATATATATATATATACACACATATATATATATATATATATGTATATATATATATACATATATATATATATATATATACATATATATATATATACATATATATATATATACATATATATATATATACATATATATATATATATATATATATATATATATATATATATATATATATATATATATATATATATATATATATATATATACATATATATATATATACATATATATATATATATACATATATATATATATATATATATATATATATAGTATATATATATATATATATATATATATATATATATATATATATATATATATATATATATATGTATATATATATATGTATATATATATATATATATATATATAAGTTAGTAGAAAATCACTTAGCAAAATTTTTTTTCATTTAACACTGTGTTTCATCTATAAAGACTCATCAGAAATGAATGATCAAATTAATAAAACTTCAGTTTATACCAAAAATTAAATTACAGGAAGTCACATGTTTTAACTACTGCAATTTTTCACACATTTGTGTAATTTGCTGACACTATTGTAAAAAAAATTCTTTAGAAATGATTACTTAAGCTTTTTTAAAAAATAATATATTTTTTTCAAAGGGGAGTTAATGTAACTATTATTTTTATAGTTTTTTAGGAGAAACTTATTTTTGTGCCTGCATTTAGAAATCAATTCCGATTTTTTGTTTAATAAACATTCTTGGTTTGTATGTATAATTATTTTTTGTGCAACTGTAGCTAACTTTAATAGTATTTCGATTAAAAATTTTATGTAATTTATTAGAGGGCGGGAATGCTTATCGATTAGAATGCTTATCGATTAATTTTAAAAACACTTTTCCTATGTTTGTGGAAACATTTTTGCTATATATATATATATATATATATATATATATATATATATATATATATATATATATATATATATATATATATATATATATATATATATATATATATATATATATATATATATATATATATATATATATATATATATATATATATATATATAAATATATATAAATATATATAAATAAATATATATATATATATATATATATATATATATATATATATATATATATATATATATATATATATATATATATATATATGTATATGTATATATATATACACACACACAAACAAATAATAATAAAAAAAAACCCATTGCTGCCCCAACTTAAACCCTCAGTTTATGTAGAGGCAACTCCCTTACATTTTCTCCTTATCAGTCTTTAATATGAGTGTAATTCATTACAAGACTTTTTAAAAGACTAGTAGTTTGTTACAAATTTTAGCTCCCTAATATACATAAGCTTGCAAAAGTAACTAGACTAGAGCATAAATCAACATAAACATAAAAATTACATTAAAAATATATTCAATTTTTTATTCAGAACATTAATGATGCTGCAACCATCAAGTTTCTTGGTTCTTAAAAAAATATGAAAGCAAAATTATAATAATAGAATCATAATTAAAATTCATTCATAAACAATATCAATATACAAGTAAATTTACTTGATGATTACCAAAGCTTATATCAGTAAAAGATCAAGCTTTAAAATATATGTTGCCTAAATATGTTGTAATATGTTGTATATTGCTTAAATATATTTACACAGCAATCAAATTGATTTGTAGTAACATAAATTCATTGTAAAAATATGTTTTATAAAACTGTAAATTGACAATGAAGGTGATATGAAGGTGCTGTAATGTAAAATGGTATTATTGTAAAAATATAAAATGATACAAATGTAAAGTTGCTGTTAACTTTAAAAGCACACTAAAGTAAAATTGCTGTCAACTGTAAATAGACATTAATGAAAAACAAGACTATTGTAAAGTTACTGTATATATCATCTCATAGATAAGATGATCTACTTTAAAACTGCATTTTTGTGAAAAATAATATAGTATTAGGATTCGTTCAAGAAATAAATGAATAAAACAATATTTAAATATTTTAATTATTTAGTTATTTTTTTATGTGTTTATGTAACATTGTTGTATTATTTTTATAATTTTAAGTTTTATTATTGTTCAAGATTATTACAATATTACAAAGTTCGAGATTGTAGTAACGTACATTATCACGAAACAACTAATTCAAAGCTACAGGTATTTTTATTTTTTGTTAAATAATTAGATAATGTATTTAAAGTACGTTTTGCAACAAATTTTTTGTTAAAATTAAATAATAATGTATTTAAAGTAAGTTTTGCAACAAGTTGTTATGGAAATTAGATAATGTATCTAAAATAAGCTTACTGTAGTAGTTAATGAATTATTGTCACATAGCAGAATTGATCAAAAGCCTCATAGAAATCGCTACATTAATTTTTATTAAATTCTTACATTCATTTTTATCAACAGAAAAAACATTAAGTTTTTTTGCATTATTTTTTTAATTCAACATGCTTTAAAGATTCTACCTACTTTTAAAATTTTTTCTGCTTCTATTCATACAAATAAATCATCTAGTTAACACCTAATGACTTCTACATATCATTTTAAATCCCTAAGAGCCATGTCGTTATAGATCAAGATGACTGTAGTTTTGTTTTAAAAATAGTAAACTGAATGATTTTTTGTGATTAGCTTGTTTAAAACCAAAACGTTCTTGTTTTTGTTTTCTTGTTGCCTCTAGCAATCTCTTAATAGTGTATGTACAAATAATCTCACAATAGTATGTGTACAAATAATCTCACAATAGTGAGTGTACAAATAGTCTTACAATAGTGTATGCACAAATAATTTCATAATAGTGTACAATAGTGTATGCACAAATAATCTCATAATAGTGTTTGTACAAATTATCTCATGATAGTGTGTGTACAAATAATCTCACAATAGTGTATGTACAAATAATCTCATAATAGTGTGTGTACAAATAATCTCATAACAGTGTGTGCACAATTAATCTCATAATAGTGTGTGTACAAATAATCTCACAATAGTGAATGTACAAATAATATCATAATAGTGTGTGCACAAATAATCTCATTATTGTGTGTGCACAAATTATCTCACAGTAGTTAACTACTAATTTTCAATATTTTTTTTAAAAAAAGTGGAAAAATTATAAAAATTTTAAGACTATTGTCTTTTATTATATATGTCTAATATAAATTTCTAATATAAATGTCGAGTTAATGAAACCACAAAAGCTCTAATGTTTTTTCTGCAACTACAAATTACTTGCCATAAGTGTTATTTTTTGCCAAGTTTAATCCACAATTTTGTATTTAAATTTGTTGCTTACACCACCACTGATTTATTTTTAGATATTATTCTTTGTGGTCCTTTATCTCGTTTGATGGATAAGGTCTCCTTAAATTGTTTTATAACCCTTCCAATAGTTTATATTGCAACAGTAGATTTTTTGAGACTTGTTTGTAGGTCCATCATTCATTTAATTCATATATGTAAAAGGTTTTTTTCTAATTTAAAATTTTAATAATAAATGATGTTTTTGAAAAATTTATTTGCATTTCTTTCGTTTATGATTTTTATCAACTACAATCATTACTCAATTTAAATATTATTATTTTTTGAAAATGTAATTTGAAAGGGGTTTGCTCTTTCTATCAATTTCCTGCTTCAGTAATTTTGAGTCATATTGAAGTTTAATTTGTTATCTTTAATCATAACAGATTAATTAAAAAATGGGTGCAAACTATTTGTATATATAGCTTGTATTTTAAGATAACAATTGCTTTTTTCAATTATAATGTTGTGATTGTATATAGGGGAAGTTTGTGTACCTATGGCCTTTTTGTACTCTCAGGCCACCCCGCTTTATTTGAAAACTCTAAAGTTCTAAGTAATACTTCTCAGTCAGCTGATTAGTTAAAAAAAAAATATTTAATCTCATTTTGATTCTTAGAAAGCGTTGGTATGACTAGTTATAATCAGAAAACGCTTTTTGATGGTCTAAAGTAAATTTTGGCGCTGGTTTTACAATTCTAGAGGAAATGCTTTTCTAAAAGTTCTTGTATATTATACATAGATGAGTTTTTTCCGTAAATTCCCGGAATTCCGAAAATTCACTTAAAACACCTTTAATTTTTCCAAAAACTTCCGGATGTTTTTTGATATTAATTTGAAAAAAAAGTAATATATTTTTACATAAAGTTTTACATAAGACAACTTTTGCATTTAAACAAATATATTATCTACAATTAAAATTATCACGAGATCAATTTTCCTAACAATTTTTTTTTTTTTGCTAATTAATTCATTCAAACTTTTTCGAATATTAGAAATTCCTTTTTGTAAAAAGTTAAATACATGTTTTTTTTTAATAAGCATAACGTTTATAAGCATATGGAGGCTCAGATTTGGATAAAAAATAAGCATATGTAAGCATATTCCTGAGCCTCGATAAACCATTTAAAAAATTCAAATTTCATTTATTTTATTATTTCAATTATTTCAAATTTTATTTATTTCAATATTTTATTGATAACATTGGTATATAGTATATATTTTTTATTTTTTATTATAGTGTACTAAAGTCGACTTTTTATTTTTCTTATAACCATTAGTAACTCACACATTTTTAGAAAGTATTGAAATATTAACCTTTAGTAACGCACACATTTTTAGAAAGTATTGAAATAAGCATATTTTATTATAAATATGCTTCAGTTTAAGCATATTTTCGAGCCTCTTTTAACTTTTTGCTTAAGCATATCCGAGCCTGTTTCAAAGATTTCATATGCTTATAAAAAAAAAACATGTAATCTAAATTCTGTTTCTCAGTTAAGTACGATCAATTTTTAATAAAATAATTTTCTGGGATTTTCCGGGATTATCATTAAAAAAAATTCCGGGATTTTCATAAAGTTAAATACTCATCTATGATTATATTGTTTGTTATATAAGTACTAAATGCGATGTTCCTCTCAATTGGTGTTTGTTAATAAATGATATTTTTCATGAGGCTATCATTTCTTGTATCTAAGGCCATATAGTTTGCTTGTACCTAGGTCCATATGCGCGTAAAGAATTTTTTTTGATATTGAGGTAGATTGTTGAATTTCAATTTGTGCATTTTTTTTTTCTCGCGGTTGTTTTGGGACTACCACTTTATGCCTAGGCTTATTTGTCAATTTTGCTCAGAACTATTAGTCAATTTTGTTATTTATTTAAGTGTTGTAATCAAGTAACACTAGATAAATTTGTTGAAAACAATCTAAGATTAAACAAGTTTTCAATCATCAAAGTCTCGGAAAGGTAACACAAATTTTCAATACATGTTTGAGCATATTAAATCATTGAAATCTGTAATGAAATGAGAAAATGAGAAATCTGAAAATGAAATGATACAGCAGAATGAGCTGTCAAACTAACTCAAGACTATGCAAAATCTATAATCAAAGATGAAGAGCAGAAAGAATTTCTTTTACAGTAGAACACCACTACCAAGTTCTTATAATAAAGATAATAAACAAGCAACTTAAAAACTCAACTTTTGAAGATTTAAACAATACTTTAATTTATATTACTTTTGATAAGTGTTGTAATCAAGTAACACTAGATAAATTTGTTGAAAACAATCTAAGATTAAATAAACTTAAATTTATGTGTCTATCTTTGTTGTCAATTTATTATGGAGTTCAAACCAGAGCCGATGACATGGGGGGGGGGGGGGGGGGGCAGTGAGGAAGCATGTGTCCCCCCCCCCCCACTTTTTTTGATATAGATGACTTTTTTCACAAATTGATGATTGTGCGCCCCACTTCAAAACCCGTGTCATTGGCCCTGCAAACCTAATTTTCAGAGAGCGGCCCTAGGTACAATAGCTAGTGGCCCTAGGTACAATTAAAATGAAACTTATTGTACCTAGGGCCACTAATTTTAAAACCCTTCTACATGACGGACTTTTATAATTTAAGTCATATCTATATTAATACTATGTAATTAGTATAGAGATATGATCATATCAGTTTCACCATTTTTAGACATGCCTGGGGCCTTGAATTTGGGCATTAAAAAAATCCGGCCCTAGGTACACAAACTTTCCCTACATAATTTTTTTTTACGTTTAAAAATATCTTCTATGGATAAAGTTATTGCTAATGGGTGATAATCCACAGAAGAAACTTTTTTACGGTTGTTTTTTGTAAAGCATGTTTATATTGCAGTGAGCGCATAGTATATCATTTTGCCTAATCATTGCGACCAGATGATAAGTTTTATCATCTGATTACTTGTTTGGGAAGAGTTTTTCTACTTGCAAACTGAAAACTCATGCAGGCAATTAGTCATTGTAATAAAATATACATACTAACAAAATATTATTGTTTCATGACTGGCAGTTTAGCAAAAACTAAGAATTTGTAAAACGTACGTCATCTTACCCTATCTTCATTACATTCTACTCTATTTTTCTCTGTTTTTATTTAAAAGATTATTTAAATAATGTGAAAAATAAATTTTTTTTTAATAATAAATATATTTGGTAACAAGTTTATTTGAAACGAAACGTAATAATGGCAATTTTATTTTAATTTAGTTGAAGTCGGAAAAAGATATCAAGAAAATACAGTTAAGAGAGGCATACTTGAGTCTATATTATGATTGAAAAGTTTATATATATTTTATTTTTGTATAATTAATGTTCTAAAAGTGTTTGTGTATATATATATATATATATATATATATGTATGTATATATATATATATATATATATATATATATATATATATATATATATATATATATATATATATATATATATATATATATATATATATATATATATATATATATATATATTATATATATATATATATTATATATATATATTTATATATATATATATTTATATATATATATATATATATATATATATATATATATATATATATATATATATATTTATATATATATATATATTTATATATATATATATATATATATATTTATATATATATATACAGTGGCGGATTGAGACTTCTTGGGGCCCGGGACTATTTTTGTTTTTGGAGGCCTTTTTATGGGCCAGAGCCTAAAAATGACTTTAAAAAAAAAAAAAAGTCCTCTAAAATTTTTGGGGCTCCCTTAGCCCCCCCCTTGATCCTGCACTGTGTATATATATATATATATATATATATATATATATATATATATATATATATATATATATATATATATATATATATATATATATATATATATATATATATATATATGTATATATATATACATGTATATATATATATATATATATATATATATATATATATATATATATATATATATATATATATATATATATATATATATACATATGCATATACACTTTTTTTCTGAAATTTTATAATTTTGTAATATTTTCTCTAATTTTACGGGAGTAATAAAATATTAAATATATTTTTCTATAAATTTTCAATACTGTTTTTGTATTTTTTAAGCGTTATAAATATTTAAATACCGTTTATATACTTTATATAATTATTACTATTTATAAATTTTAACTTTTGGTACTATGATAAGATGAAGACATGAAGTGATGGGCAAGATGAGTGGGTATAAAGATTTGATGAGTGGGTTAGGAATGGAGACAAATGATAAATGGGTTGGGAATGTAGTCAATAACTTGTGGGAATAAAATTTCTTTCTGAATTCATCGAAAGTTGGTAGCAGGGGTAAGTTGACGAATTACTTTTTTTTCTCGACCCTTTTATCAGAAAGTGCCAGAAATTACAGAGAATCTTCCTTATTGTCCATCTGTTTATATGAAAAAAAACATTTTATCTTTCAATATAGAATTCAAACAATTCTATAGTGAAAAATGAAATGTTTAATCACAATAGAATTGTTAGAATTCGCACATATATTATATATTAGGGTTTATGTGTTATTTGGACAAAAAAGTAACTTTTGAAACACTTTTTTTTGTTTTGTTTTTTATTTATTTTTTTTGTTTTACTTCATTAAAAATAAAAGGTATGAAAAAAAAAATATTGTAAAGATTCCAGTCACAATAGATTTACTATTTCCAGTCAGTTAGTTTGGCACATCAAAAATCTTGTTAAAAAAAAAGCATCACTAAAACGTTAATTTTTTGCCATTTTTTATAAAACCTTTGTAACCTAGTTTAACACAAATTTAATTTGTGTTAAGAGTCATTTTTTGTAAGAATCAGGCAGTCAATGGAAGTGACCTCGTCCAAATTGCTTGAATTTTTTATATATTGATCAGAATATAGAGAAAACCTGTTGAAGAAAAAAAAAAATTTCAAAAATGTTTCATTCACTCGGAATCTGGGCTTAAATTTTTGAGATTTTTTTAAAAATTTTTAGAAATTTAGTTTTTGCCACCTTTGAACCCATTTTTTTGGCAAGGCAAAAAGTTGCACATAGCTTTTGTAGTTAATATCAGACGTAACCCAAAAGCTCTCTCCAAAGAATATAAAAAAGTTGCGTGACACTGTGCGGTTGGCTAATTATCATAGTTCAAAAGTACAAATTCAATCAGTTTTGTCAATTTTTAATTGGAGTTAATTCTAGCGGCGAAGTGTTGCACACAATTTTTCTTTTAGGATTTGAAATTATCAAAGGTATTGAGTCTAAAAATGCAAAGAAAGTTATGTGATACCTTTGGCCTATTAATATATTAAGGCTTGAAATTGGAAAAAAATGTTAAAGTATACTTACAAAATGAGCTATTACGGCAGAGGCGCTAAAAAAGTTTTGTAAAAATATAATCATGTTAAATGGTCAATATAAGGTGACCCTAACATAGTTTAAAAAAAAACTCATGTGATCTTTAGATATTAAGTTAAAAATAAAGGTACAAACTGTTAAAAATGATTAAGTACAAAGAGATATTTTTTTGGACACACAGATGAGGTTTTCGCTCACAATAAAATTTCTATCATCCAAAATTAGCAATTAGCATTACACAAAACATTGCACGTAATGTTAAGAAAAAATTTAGGCGTTTCTGACTATGATATAGAAATCATAACAATTGGAATAAATAATAATAAAAAACAATACATGATCAGAAGTGAATTATTTAAATTTACGTCATAACCAAATAACTTGCGGTGATCGAATGGAAGAAGAATCGCTGATATCACGATTGTGGAGAAACAAGTTAGTGGGCGGTTGATTACTTTACCATAAAAATGTCTTAACTTTATTTTAACGATCTTTAAAATTTGCATAAACAGAGTAGATATTTTATCATTGCTATTGAGAAATAGGTACTGCATAAATAGAACTTGTTTTTAGTTGAGTATGGAACAAAACAAATATTTTTATGAAAACTGTTGTTGCTTTTTAAAAGGAAATTGTGGATCATTCAAAAAACATAAAATTATAAACAAAATGTTCTACATTCATCAGCTGGGAGATGTTGATGTTAAGAAACACCTCATCAACTTAAAGGTAATTATGTATTTTAAATTTACGCAGACTGTAATATAATTTTTATAATTACATACTTTATAACTTCTCTGCAATAAGATTTTGAGACAAAGTTCTTTAAACAAAAAAAAATAGCTCTTTTAATTAATTCCTCACTCTTTTAATAAATAATCACTAAATTAATCACACTCTTGCAATATTGTATTTTAATAATAACAACAATGTATTTCAAACTTGTAAACATTTTTCGTGAAGAGTCAGATTATAAACAATGCTTTAAATGACACACTTAATAATTGTTTAAAAAATTGTTTTTAGATCATGCGATTAAACGATAATAATATTTGGGAAGAAAATGGACTTATTGCAAATAGACTTAAAAGAAATCTTGAAAAGGATGAACAAATATGTGCTTTTCACCGGTACACGTTTGGTATTGCATGGAGTCCTCCAAAAACATGCTTTCATCCTCACCATCTAAATATAAAAGGAAAAAAATCTCCCGCTTTAAGGGCGTCACCAATACATGTCGTCATATCAATGTCAAAGCGATACAATGAAGTATTTTCAGTTGGTGCAATGGTGTGTTTTACCCATTTAAAGCAAGAAACTGCTTTATCTAGAGTCAACGAAAACACCAATTTATGTACAGAAACACAAACACAACAAGAACAAACATATATGACACCTGCTACTCCAGATGAAGAATTTGATGCCGGTGAAATTAATGTTTCACAGGAGATTTTGGACGAATCTCTAAGAAGCCGTGAGAATGTAACTGAGGTTCTTAATGCAAGTCCAATAAAATTTAGATTAAAAAGGAAGTTCGAATATCTGGAAGATACTACTAAAGATAAGTTAAAACGCAAGTATGTTCGCCTAGAAAACTTATTAAAGAAAAAATTTGCGGAAGCTGTTGCTCCTGGACAAGAGGAAATACTTATAGATTTTCTTAACAGTAAAAATGTTGATGAAATAAATAGCCCTCTCCCAATTGAAATTATTCGTGCTCAGAGAGTATATAAGCAAAGTGATCCCATGGGAAAGTTAGTTATCCTCTCATTATTAGACCATACCAAGTATACCAAAAATTTTATAATGAACACATTTGAGTGTACCAAACATCGTATAGAAACAGCAAGAAAATGGCATGCATCTCATAAAGGGTTGGCATTTCCAGAGAAGATTCGTCCGATCTAGTCTTGATCAAACAAAGTGTGAACATTTCTTAGACTTTATATTTACAAGCGGTATTTTGCATGATGTTGCTTATGGAATAACCAAATTAAAATACGACAGCGGTGAAGAACAAAAGATAGTGCATGCAATACTGACGACAAAATATAGCCACGCTATCATGTTCTATCGAAAAAGTTGTAGTGAAAACAATTATATACCATTATCTGATTCAAGTTTGTGGAAAGTATTGCATGCAATAAAACCTTCAAGCCGAAAAAGCTTAGCTGGATTAGATGATGTTACTGCTTCAGGCATGAATGGTTTTCAAACATTACAAAAATTGGCACAAAGATTTAGTCCTAAATCTCTCGAAGCTGCCCTTGAAAAAGGAAAAAGATATTTGAAAACAAGTTATTAAACCAATTGTAGTGTCAATGACTCAAACATTTCTTCTCATAGCTCAAAACATGCCTTATTAGATCCATCTGAAAAAAATCTTCAATCCAACACAGAGATATCAGAAGTGGTATGTGCCGATTGCTATGATTTGTGCAAAGCTATCAAGATGATCAAAGAACTTACAATTCAAAATTCTGACGATGCTGATTCTATTTATGATTTGGAAATTGCTGTAAAGGATGTATTCAACTACATAAAACACCTGATGAGAGATTCTCAACAGAAAAAGGCAAAAATCGAAGCTTTTAAGCAATTAAACGATGAAACTGCTTTCTGGCTTAAAGATTTTTGTCAAAAAATTCTTCCGGTTCGATACAGAGAGGGCCAAAGAGAGTATTTTGTCAAGAAAGGAATGAGTTTACATGTGGATATATTCTTCATAAAAATAGCAGGAAAGTTATTCAAACGTGTTTACTTTACTTCAATGTATAGGTGTGATCAGGGAATAGGTGATGTTGTTTCGTTAGCCACTGCAGTTTTAGACCAATTCAGAATTGATCAACCGCATATCAAGAAAATGTTTACCAAATCTGATAATGCCGGCTGCTATCAGGGAAATCTTTCAGCTGAAGCAATCTACAATGTATGCAAAGAGAGA